CTATGTCGATTACAAAGCATCTAAGGTACATACATTTATATGAACAACTGAGTCAATAGAGATAAATAGCCCAACGAGAGTCGGCGGTCTTGAAAAATACTTGGATCTCGTTGCCAGTCCTGTTATTGATATCATTTCCGTTCGAAGAACGTATTAGATGTCCGTGCTTTTTATTGCACCTTACTACTAATTGAAGTGTTATAATGTTTACTTTTGTGAACTAATGCTTCATCAAATTGATAATTTTGTGCAAAAAATTCACTGCAATTTCCGCGGGACTGTAGTAAATCATAACAGACTGACTTCTAGTCTGTTGGATACTGTACATACTTATTACTAGCCCTAGTCCAACAACATTAGACCTAGCCTGGGCCTCGTTTCTTATCTGACATGTCTTATGGCCCCGGCTAGGTCTAACTTCCATGATCATTTTGCCCTTGTTGCGATCATTTAATCGTTCAGCAGGTTTCGACATGCGGAACAAATTAAACCGTAATAAGATGGTATCGTTACAGAAATAATGTGATCAACACATGCATACATACCTTATGAATAAATACAAATCATCACATACCCCCCTGTAACCTCATCGATGTATAATTATGAAAATGTTGGGAGAAGGCTTTTTCTTAGTTTAGAAAACTCTGTTCTGGTTCCGGTAACATCGAAATGGCAAATCCTTTCAGGAATAAACCGCCGTTAGCAACACTGAACGAAACAAGTTCATAAAACGAAACGAACCCCGGTTATCCTATATATAAGTACAAAATATTGTAATACTGTAGGAGGCTTGCGATAAACATGATTAAGTTTCCTACTTTTTTTCCTGTTTTATTTTCAGAATTATGGTAAATTTCTGGCTAAAATGCTAAAGCTTTCAACATCTTTGGACAGACGCAAGCATGTGATACTGAATAATTAGATATTTTTCTTAACATGTTTAAATATATATTGTGCCAAAGTTTTCTCTCCCAGAAAGTCAGTGATTTCCTATTGTAATAACTCAGATGCGAGTAGGTAGTTACCAGTTTCACCACCAGGTGGCTCATTCAGGCCACATAGCATGACATAGTTATGCAAATTAAAATAATGTATCTGTCCAATACAAGAAAACATATTTCACTTTTTGTGACTTTATATGTTGAATCTCCCCGTAGTAGCATTTACATTTTCCAAAACAAAAATTTTTCAAAATTGATCAACAATATTTGAAGCAATATTTCTTGATGTACTTTTACATGTACATTTCAAATACTAGATAGTATGACATCATTTTGACTGAATGTTTAATGACGATCAAGTAAGGTTTTTTAACATTAGAGTAATGAGATCGAAAAAAGCTGAAAAGTGTTGATTTGAAAAAAATCAGATTTGGAGGTATCGAGATAAATCAGGTGTGAAGTATAGGTTAAAAGTACATTTACTTGCTCCAATATCGTGATAAAACACATGTGTTTAACTTTTCTCTCATTGAGTAAATGAAATATCATTGTAGAAAAATATGTTTTATAAAATAGCATAAACAAAACTTTAATTTTATTAAGAACATCATACATTTAAGAGCTAGGAATAAAACAACCATGCTTATACATCAGTGTTCTCCCCAAAAAAAATTTTCAACTGGGTGCAAGATTTCAAGTCTAAAAAAATCAGCACTCGCTACGCTCACAATATCTCAGTGTAGGTGCTTACTTCACTCATTCTTTAAATCAGAAGTTGAAGTGCAGATGCCAACTGGGTGCCAACTGGGGGGCCTTTGGTTTCAAGTAGGGGGAGCCCCCGGTAAAAGTGACATGGGGAGATCACTGTACATGTAATCTTATCACAATACATCACCACATTGAAGTTATTAAAATGTAACAATTGTTACAAAGCATGTATGCTGAGTAAAATACATGATCCCAGTTATAAACAATTGAGTGTATCAGTGGAGACGATTAGGTCGTTTAACGTTTATTACGACAATTGACGTCATTGTGCGTTAATTGCCGGGTATCGCGTTAATTGACGTACTTCAAATTCAAATTGATTTAGACGTTATTTTCGTTGCATTTCATACTTTTTGGTGATATTTATACATACAGATAAGCTTAAATTTTTAATTATTTAGCATACAGAAGAACATGGCTTCACTTCTTTCTGTTTCAACCAGGCTTTTAGAAGCAGAAACACAATAGTATAATCATTTGAACAACTGACGATCAAATTGTTTTTAAGCGGTAAACACACGCAAGAGAGGCACCTGGGACATGTTTATTACAATTTGGGCAAGATGTTTTTACTTTTATTCGAAGCATTGGATAGATATCTTCAACTTCCATGTGGGAATTGTGTTTTCTATGATGCAATATTTTTTTATAAAGCAATAATGAAGACGTTGTCGAAATATGGAGTCGCGACTCCATTAAAAAGTCGCAATGACTCTATAGCATAATGATCACAGTCTCATTGCATCGCCAATGAATTTCTATTATGGACAAATTGTGTTGGTATATTTTATTGAACAAAATTAGATTTCCATATTGATGATGAAATTAAATACAACATTTTGAATGTTTCATCCTAGAACGGGCCCGTATTGCCGATTTCTCCCGAGTGCATCTGACCAAATAAAGTCCACTTCAGAATTTAACGAAATATCACAATTAGAAGAAAAAATATAAATATGTTCTTCATATTTATGATGATAAGAACGTCTTTTATCATGTCCTTGAACAATTTTAATGATTGTTTTTACATTTAATATGAAATTTAATTTTTTTAAATTTAATTTTTAATTTTAGTAATTGCTGAATATACGTAACACTGCGAGTCGGATCCAATTCATAATTTATGATAATGATATACAGGTTAAAAGTCAGTAGGTCAGACGATTGGCCAATGAGGGTGGCTCAAGATTTATAAGTATAAACATTTAGAAGGTTTAGATGGGGTCTTCCGGGGGCCCGGTCCGGGGGTCTTATTCATGTTCTTATTTGCAGCACAAGGAGGATTGGCTCCCAGAGTGCAACATCGATATTCTGTCCCATATATGGGCATGTCGTGATACAAAATTTGAATTCAAACAGCCACCATTTTGTTCACTTCAGCATTTGAATCGTGAATGTTGGTCTTGTTTCCGAACGAAAAATTCCAAAACTCAGGAGAAATGATCGAGATATTGGTTCGAATCTTTTGGACTGTTTATTTTGAATTTATAGTTGGTTATAATTTCAGAAAATAACGACATTTCGACGATTTCATTGTTGGAAAATATCGAGTTTCGATCCTGGGAGCCAATCCTCCTTGTTTGCAGCAGAAATCTACTTCGATTTATTAATTAATCAATCTTTTAATCAGTATAGCCTATCGCAAATATGTACTACTAGTTGAACATCGCATATCATCTGTTAAAAATTGTCACCTCAATATTCACGGGCTTTAATTTAGTAAAGGCTAAAAAGACAAACTATCAGGGGACAGCAGATAGTATCTAACCGATATCGTTTTTGAAAGAGGTCCGTGATTTCAAGACGTAAGTCTGCCAGTTATGAATCGAAATACGCGTAAATAAATTATACAACTGTTTATAATTTATAATAGACGCTTTTTATCGATTCTCACAATTTCAAACATTGACAATTTCATCAAGAAGTACTAATGAGGTAGGTACATTTCGGCCAGTTACCTTGGTAATGGGCGATAATAAAAATACGACCTAGCCCGTACGACAATCAACGTTCCCGCACGTTGATTATACGATTACACGTAAATTGACGCGATTGATTACACATGCGCAATTGAAAAACATAGAACGTCAATTAACGTAGTATCCGTCAATCAACTACAATGACGTTAATTGACGGGATAAACGTTAAATGACGTAATCGTCTCCACTGTGTATTCCTAGGTACGTTTTTGCAAGCAGAAAACCATGAACAATTACCATAATTTAATATTTAGGCACAATTATTCAACACAATCACAATCTAGCACAATCAATGACATCTATATTTCTTTGAGCTGAAATTACCAGTAATCAAATGCATCAATAATGTTGCTTTTTAAAGTTTTTATAAATAACAATAGAGTAAACTTGGGTGAATACACGCGCTGTTTGAATAAAGCAAAGATTCGTGTCATACTGGATGGTTATAATAAATATCAATATTGAAGAACAATTTCGTTTCGCTGACCAAGTGTACTTTGGCGACGCACAGACAGACATTGCCGGTTGAAATATTCGTCTCATAAATTGGTAAGAATAAGACTCATTTTACGATTAAAAATGAACATTTAACACAATAATATTATGTGAAATCGCCTGATGAAATGTGGTTTTATATTATTGTTAAGTATCAGTGTCATATTAGCGAGGAAAAGTGGTTTCGATAGATCCACAACTTGCATCAAAGGAAAGAATAGCATGGAGGTTAAACTCAATAATGGCCCCAAGAAAATTCCTAATAATAAAGAACGCCGTTATTGAGTTTAACGACGTTGAACTATACTAGCCCTGGC